AATCACATACTGGAAGGTGAATTCTTCAAGGGGCAGATTTAACTCATATTCTTCCTGCTTCTCTTCTTTTATCTTAAAGTTCCACATAGAACAATGTTACTTGGAAATTGTTAGAGTTCATCCTAATTTTGGTAATCTAGTCTCTCTTCATAGATAGATAGATAGATAGATAGATAGATAGATAGATAGATAGATAGATAAGAAAGTAATTAAGGACCTACAAATAGGGTTTAAGTAGCTACAGCATAAATGAGCAAATCAAACATTGACTCCATTCATTGACACTCCTGTCTTAAGTCTCGGGCTGTCTTGAACTTCACATGATAAAAATTTTTGTACTTCATAAAATTGGAATATGAGGCTATCTTGGGGATTGGGTCCTCCTGGTGCAGTAGAAGCTTTAGAATTATACATTTTTTTGGAGTTCCAATATCTATATTGATGATTACAATAATCCTAGCCCTGTTATGTATTCTCATATTTGAAAAAAATCTAGGTTTAATGTAGCTTAAATCACATACCCTAAATATAGGACACATTGTATCTTGGCTCTGCTAACAATAGATACCCTTTTGTTTCTTTTGTATTGGTGAAAGAGTTTCATAGTGTTTTTTCATAAACTATTAATAAAAATTCTGAACTAAGATGATATATGGTATTCAGTTAAAAATATCATTTCTGCTTCAATTTTAATTGTATAGAATACCAACTTTTTTTTTTTACATCAAGCCGACAGATGTCTTCCCTCCTGCTTTGGTTTCATTTTTCCTGTCTCAAGTGGTAGATATTAAATAAGAAACACAGATTTCATAGAATTGTCTTCTCTCATGAGCACATTTCCGAGGTTTATGAGCATGTAGAGTAAAGGAGAATGGTAGGGGCAAAATATGTTCTCTAACAAAATTAACATTAGAAAATATTTAGATATCTGGAATATAGAGGTATATGTATGATATCTAGTAGATTGTAGTTGGGAGAACACATATGAGTGTTATGTTTCTAGAGCCTTTTGTGGATGGTCAAGTGTAAGAGAAACAGGAGGGGAGTCATGTATGAAGTTTGGTGTTCTCTGGATCATTTGGAAGGTTGTGGGGAATCCCACTATGAGTTGTGCTAAGGTAAGATCCTTACCTGATCTAAGAGACTGAGAGATGCCTTTTTAAAAAGAAGCAGGAATGGGGGCACCAGTAGCAGTACAGGAGTCAATCTTTCCTTAAAATCTGGCTTTGAAATTGAGAAAACTCTAGAAATAACCAAGAATGTATGTATTTTCTTACTTTCCATGATCGAAAAGAGTAATTCTATAACACTGCTGCAAGGCACAGTGTTTCATGACTCACCGTTATTTATTGAGCAGTTGTCACCTGACAGGTACAGTGTTAAGTACTTTACATGTTTTATCTTATTTAATACTTATAACTTCTGAGTCAGGTAGGTGAGGCTAGTGATACCAAGTAGTATGTGAGAAAACTAGAGATAAATTTGGTGTACTGTAAACTTATGAAATATTAGCTGCTACAAAGAAGTAAATTCTTAGAATTAATAAAATGTGACAGAGAGAATTCAAAATAACCTCACAGATCCCCTAAACCCATCTTCCTCATATATCCTCCTTATATAATCACCATCCCTTTAGTGTAGATGAGACTTGGGAAAATGATAGGATATCACTCCATTGATTCCATTATATTACATAACATTGGCAGAGCAAACTGGAGAGAGATTTTCTGGCTGGCATTGAAGAAATAAGCTGTCATGTTGTAGAAATCCAGGTAACTATGATCTTAGGATCTAGAATGGCTTCTATAAGCAAGCTGAGAGTGATATGCTCTGCAAACAACAAACAAGAAAACTGGGACCTCAGTCCTAAAACTGCAAGGAACTGAATTGTGCCAAAAACCACAATAAGCTTCAAGGATGATCCCAAGCCTCAGGTGAGATTCTACCCTCTGGTAATACACTGAAACCTGTTGAGACCCTTAGCAGAGGATCTAACTGACCTGACCCCAGAGAGGGTGAAATAATAAATTAACATGTTTTGTGCCACTGTTTGTGGTACATTTACATGTACCCCATATATATATGGGCCTTCCCCATGCCCCAGTACTGGACAATCCCTCTTTGGAATCTTCTGGTGGTTTATGTGCTCACTGTGCTGGGGAACTTTGTAATCCTGCTGGTGATCAGGGTGGAGTCTTACCTCCACAACTCCATGTACTACTGTCCTACTTGCTCTCCAACCTGTCCTTCATTGACATGTGGTTCTCTACTGTCATGGTGCCCAAAATGCTGATGACCTAGATGTCCCTGGGTGTCAAGGCTATCTCCTTCCACAGCTGCATGACCCAACTCTATTTCTTCTACTTTCTGGGGAGCACTGAATGTTTCCTCTACACTGTCATGTCCTGTGATCGATATAAAGGAAACACTCAGCACTCCCCAGCTAATGAAAACGATCCCCAGGAAGTGAACTCCCCAGGACGTGAGCCAAACGCTAGTGGCCCACATACGTGCTCTCACTCATCATCCTGGCATTAATGAGTGGGTACCTAAGGATGAGTAGGAAGTAGATATGCTGGATTGTTCAGAATTAGTAATATAATTTAGTTATCCATGTGAAATGCATTACATGTATAGGTCTCAGCATTAAACATTATTTCAAACCACCTGCACATTATAATTCTTTCACAGATTATCAAAGACATTTTTAAAGTCACACTAGATTTTTATTTATGATGAACATGCTTGTAGCATCTACAGATGAATTTCTCATCAATAGATTTTTTTACTTTAAAAAATTTATATATTGTAGTTGGTTCTCAGGGATACACAGTGGAATCATTCATATATGTAAGCTGATATATGTTTTCATATTTTTTGTGTGGGCACAAAAATTTAAGAATTTACAATAATGGGGATATTACTTAAGAATAGCAAATATCAGAGGTCACTTTTCTGTTTGTGGTTATTTCTGTTTAAATATTGTTTTGATTGTTTTAGTATATCTATGTATTTGTACATGCATATACAAATCCAAATTTGTATGCAAAAGAAAGCATATAAAATATAATACATAGGTATGTGATGAAAATTAAACATACACACATATATACATATATATATTCTCTAAAACATTCATAGAAATGACATATTAAATAGACAGAGGTAGCGAACTATTCAAAATGACTGTAAAATAATGAATGAAATATAAATTGTTATATGTTCACACAATTGATTACTACAGTGCAATAATATATGATCTATAGCTACATGTAAGATTATATATGCATTTGTCTTTTATGTTCATTTATTTATGTTTGGTAAGATTCAATGTAAAAAAAAATTACATCAGTGAGGGCAATTTTGCTCTGCCATTTTTGCTTAGAAATGTCTGAATATTGTTGCAAGTCACAGGTGCTCGAATCCAGTGGCTAGAGGTCAGGGATGTGAGTAAACATCCCACAGAGCATAGCACAGACCCTCATCACAAGACTGATCTTGGCTAAAACATCCATTGTGCTGAGGATGAGAAACCTTGATCTGACATAATTTTAAGTAAAAATGGGTAAGATTACTACAATAGAAATAACAAGATATTTTCAAAAAAATATAAAAGTTGCTGAAGAAATTGGGCATTATATGCATATAGAATGGAAGAGTCATATCTTAAAGACAACAATTCTCTTCAAATTGATCTATAGATTTAATGTAATTCCAATAAAATTCCAGCATTTAATTTTGCAGATAGGAATATGTAGATCCCAAAGTGTATATTGAAATGAAATGGATCGGGAAAATGGTCAAGGTAGTCTTGCAGAAATAAAATATAGTTGAAAGATACACAACACTAGAAATCAAGCCTATTATGAAGCTTTAGGAATTCAGAAAGTGTAGTATTGGTAAAAGTATTTGTATGGAAATGAAGAGAGGATAAAATAAATAGATTTGTATATATTCATATAACAAAGATGGCACTGCAGTGCAGTAAAGGAATAATGCCTTCTTCAATAAATTATTTTGAGTTACTGGGTTTCAGAATGAAAAAATAATCTTGATCCTATCTTACACTATCTATGTAAAAAATCAATTACAATGGATCGGAGACATAAATATAGTAGACTTTATGACATTCTGTTAGTAAATATATTTTGAAGAAAACAAATGAACAGAAGCTAACCATGAAAATGATACAATAAAGTTACTACCTTTTGAAATAGAAATTTTTCAGCTCATTTCCTTGGCATGTAATGTAATAAAGCCAGCATTTAATAAGCAAATTATAAGAGAGAAATCAAAACAATGAGAATTTAAACCAAATCCCTAAAAAACACTTTCTGTTAGTGAGGTAATTATAACTATAATCAAAATTCTATAGAAAATAAAAACATCCTGATGTTACATGTGAAGTAAAATTAATTTTCAATAAAATAGGGATATAATGAAGGAAAAAACCTTAAAGCAATAAGTATTATATAAGTGAAAAGTAATAAACCTGTGTGCAAGAAAGTCCTTTGAAAGCAAAATACCAACATCAGAAATATATTGGAATAGATTCATAAAATTTTGTAGAACATTAAAAAATCTGTACAAATAAAAATTAAATGACAGCAATTTGAAAGCAAATTTTACTTTATAATAAAACAACTAATTAATGTTTTCAATTTGTAAAACTTCAGACAAGTTCATAGAATAAAGTTCATATCTCAAAAGAAAGAAATCTATAAAGATCCTGAAAAGTTAATTTTTAAAAGGCGGTATATGCATGACATGTTGAACAGTGTTTACTCATACTTGTAAAAGCAATGAAAATTAAGACAGGAGTGCTATCTAATTATAACTTATACAGTTGGGAAATAATTATCTTAGGTTTATCTTTGGGGAAAAGCCACCCTGAAACTCTAAACAACAAAAAAAGTTTGGGAATTTGGATGTTTTGAACTAGCATATAAAGATGAATGAGAGTGTGATGCTGAGTTGCAGAGCACTGAGTGAGACATTAGGGATTCTGGAAAATTTTAAGTTGAGAGCAAGCAGTCCTGAGTGTCTCTCTATCACTGGTAAGGGAAAAGAGTAAGTCATTCCTCCTCCTTTCTTCTTAGATATAGGAAGATATGGGCTCTTCTCAAGAGGGTTCAAATAAGAAACACTAAGAAACCGCATGCATGCTTCTGAAGAAGTTTTCATTGGTCTCTTCCTATTGTTTTGTGCTCACCAAGGGAACATGAAAGCCCCAGAGCAATCCCATCCACCGAGACAGAGATCAAGTTAAATTCCTACCCATGTTCATTTTCATTCCCTGCAATGCAACTACTGTAGTGTGGTCCCTAAATACAAACGGACTGCTCTTTCTCAACACTGTGCACCTGTTCTTTGAGTTAACCTTGCAAACTAGTGCCTATACATAGTGGGCAGAAAATGAAAAATTGGGGAGAAAGTCAGATGAGTGTTACTACCAAAAAGAACCACATACTGCAAGGTGAGTCTTTAGAAATGTGGACTTCACTTATTTTCTCCAACTTCCCTTCTTTTCTTTAACTTTCATTCAGAGCTAAGATATTCAGGAATTAATAGAACTTGTCTAAAATGGATTTATCAAGGTAGATTGAGAGTAACTGAGGGTATACAAAATAGGGACCAAATATCCACACCAGGGATAGTCAAGGCAAACATTGTCTCTACTGTTTGAGACTCCTGCCTCAGGTGTCAGGCAACATTTGACTTCACCTGATAAAAATTTTTATATTTCATCAAATCTGATTATGCTGCATTCATGAGGATTGGGTCCTGCTGGTACAGCAGAAATTTAAGGGTTTTATTGGTTCCATTTTTAAGGTTCTGATACCCATATTGGTAATTAAAATAATGCTGTTTCTGCTTTTTTTTTTTTTACATATTTGGAAAACCTTGCTTTAATATATCGTCAGCTGCATAACATTTTACCTGAGTTCTATAAACTACGGATATCCTGGTTTCTTCCACTGACTGGTGAATCCGTTTCATAGTCTTCTCCACAGATCATAATAAGCCTGGACTAAGAAAATATTTTGTGTTCAGTTAAAAACAGTATTTCAAACTGAATACCAATTGTACAAAATCTCAGCTTCTCTTGACTTCATGCCAACCTATATTTCTTCTTCTTGCATCAGTGCTGTTTTCCTGTCTTAGGTGTTAGGTGTTAAAAATAAACATAGACTTGACAGAATTGTATTTTATTATGAGAGCATTGCCTGGGCTTATGAATATGTGAAGGAGGGGAAAATGGTAGGGGTGGCAAAATATTATCTGTAACCAAGCCCATATTTGGAAACATTTAGACATCTAGGACAGAGTGATGTACAATAGAAAGCTAGCTAGTAGATTGTAGCTGGGAGATCACATATGAATGTCATGATCATAGAGCCTTCCAGGGGATGGCCTACTGTGAGACAAACAGGAGGCAGTCATGGTGCTCTCTGGAGCATTTGGAAGGTTGTGGGAATCCCACTGTAGACTTATGCTGACATTCCCATCTGCTCTGAGAGAAGCCCTTTAAAAGCAGGCAGTAGTGAGGACAACAGTAACAGTATTGGGCATGAAATAGTCCAGAAAGACATAACTCCTAGACTGAGAAGGACTCTCTGAAAACACTAAGAGCATATAGGCACTCTCTTTCGATCTAAGATCAAAAATGGCACATCCATAGTACTGATGCAAGGCACAATGTTGTAAAACTCACTATCATTTATTGAGCAGTTATTATCTGCCAGGCATAGTACTTAGTACTGTATATATACATTATATATATATGATCTTATTTAATGCTTGTAATTTCTCAGCGAGGTATGTGATGTTAGTGATGTCAAATATAATAACATATGAGGAAACTAGTGGATGATTTATATGTGCTGGGTTTCATTCCTAGTAACAATTAGATTCTCGTTCCTTTAAGTTTTCCCATGAACTCTGCAATGAAAATAGAATATGGTAGGTAGAATTCCAAGGAGCCCCCAAAATTCCTGCCCATTGGTATATACTTCCTATATAATAACATCTCTTTGAGTGCACGTGGGACCTGTGACTATGATGTTACAAAACTATGATGTTACTATGATGTGGCTGTTATGTTACAAAACATTTTACTACAGCCAACTAGAGAGAGATTATTTTCTGACTTTGAAGAAGTAAGCTGTCACGTCATTGAAGGCAAGGCAAAGAGGATTTTAGGACATAGGGTGACATCTGTAAGCTGAGATTGGTATGTCCTGCCAAAAACCAGCAAAAATATTGAAGACCTCTGTCTAAAAACTGCGAGGAATGAGATCCTACCAACACCTGCAATAGGCTAGAAAGAGGATTGTGAGCCTCCAATGAGATTAAAGCTTCTGGTGACATATTGATTGAAACCTGATGTGACCCTCAGCGGAGGATCCAGCTGAACCACAGAGAGGGTGAGATAAAAAGTTTGTATGTTTTATGCCACTAAGTTTGTGGTATTTTTATATTAATCAATGACAATCTAATACAGTGTGTTTCTCCTACATTCTTCCGCATTTGTGTCTCTGTGTATGTGCAACTATGTGGATGTGTGTTAGAGAGGCTAACACATAGAGAGGCTAATTTCATCATCATTTCTATGAAGGAAGCTTTGTAACAAGCAAAGTACAGAATAACTCCAGAATTATCTACCTGGTTAATGCAGTTTCCACATAGAAAATCAATTCTCATTTCTCAATTATGTGCTAAATGCTGGATGATCTTTATATCCTCAGAAGGAGAGAGATCAAAGATGAGAAGAAATGTCCAACAGTAGCCTTGTGACAGCATTCATCCTCACGGGTCTTCCCCATTCTCCAGTGCTGGATGCCCCCCTCTTTGGAATCTTCCTGGTGGTTTATGTGCTCACTGTGCTGGGGAACCTCCTCATCCTGCTGGTGATCAGGGTGGATTCTCACCTCCACACCCCCATGTACTACTTCCTCACCAACCTGTCCTTCATTGACATGTGGTTCTCTACTGTCACGGTGCCCAAAATGCTGATGACCTTGGTGTCCCCAAGTGGCAGGGCTATCTCCTTCCACAGCTGTGTGGCCCAGCTCTATTTCTTTCACTTCCTGGGGAGCACCGAGTGTTTCCTCTACACGGTCATGTGCTATGATCGCTACCTGGCCATCAGTTACCCGCTCAGGTACACCAGCATGATGAGTGGGAGCACGTGTGCCCTCCTGGCCACCGGCACTTGGCTCAGTGGCTCTCTGCACTCTGCTGTCCAGACCACATTGACTTTCCATTTACCGTACTGTGGACCTAACCAGATCCAGCACTATTTGTGTGACGCACCGCCCATCCTGAAACTGGCCTGTGCAGACACCTCGGCCATCGAGATTGTCATTTTTGTGACTGTTGGAATAGTGGGCTCGGGCTGTTTCCTCCTGATAGTGCTGTCCTACGTGTCCATCGTCTGTTCCATCCTGCGGATCCGCACTTCAGAAGGAAGACGTAGAGCCTTTCAGACCTGTGCCTCCCACTGTATCGTGGTCCTTTGCTTCTTTGGCCCTGGTCTTTTCATTTACCTGAGACCGGGCTCCAGGAAAGCTGTGGATGGAATTGTGGCCGTTTTCTACACTGTGCTGACGCCACTTCTCAACCCTGTTGTGTATACCCTGAGGAACAAGGAGGTGAACAAAGCCGTGTTGAAACTGAGAGACAAAGTAGCACATTCTCAGAGTGAATAAACACTAGAAAGTAGGTATAATAGTTTGTTTAAAAATAGTAATATAATGTATTAATGTGAAATTGATTATATGTATAGCTCTCAGTTTTGAGCGTATTTCCAAAACACCTGCACAGTTATAATTCTTCCACATGTTATCTAAGACAGTTTTAACATCACAGCCAGACTTATATTTATGATGAACATGATTGTATTCTGATTTATTGACTCATTTTTTATCAATAGGTTCATATTGTTTACAAATATTTTAATCAAATCTCAGGGATAGATGGTTGAGTCATTGGTGTTTATAACTTGATAAGAGCCTTTTGTGTTTTGTTTCATTCCTCGTGCACGCAAACTTAAGACTTTACCATCATGGAGACATTGTTCAAAAATATCGGAAATTATTATAGGTTATTTTTCTAATTGTAGTTGTAGATGTTCAAATTTCCTTTTGGTTTTAATGTATCTATATATTTGTATGTGTATACACAAATCCAAATGTGTATACACAAGAAAGTATATAACATTTAGCATATTTAACATACAGGTTTTCATATATTTACATATATATATGTATCTGTCTGTTTACATATATAAATATCCAAAAAAATTTTAGTGACTACTGATATTTAAAATATGATCAATGAATCAAATAGAAACTGTGTATTCACATAATACATTACTGTCCAGAAATGATAATGATATATAACTGTATGTTTAATGGTATATACACTTATCGTTTGTGCCCATTTTTTAATGTTTGTTGAGATTTAATACAAAAAATTAAACCTCTTAAATACCTAGATCCCTTGGGGCAATTTTGTCTCCTGGTTCACTTGGCAATGTCTGGAAATATTGTTGCTTGTCTCAAGTGCTGGCATTTAGTAGCTAGAGGTCAGAGATGTTAAACATCCCACAGTGTACAGGAGGGACCCTCACAACAAAGGTTATCATCACCAAAATGTCAATAGCACTGAGGATGAGAAATCCGGAGCTGAATTAAATTTTAAGTAACATGTGTAAGACCACAAAAATAGAAATAAAATGTTTTCAGATGAATATATAATTTGCTGAGCAAATCTGATGGGGTTATTTGGTTTTTTTCCTGTAAATTTGATTAAGTTCTTTGTAGATTCTCGATGTTAGCCCTTTGTCTGTTGGTTGCCTGTTCACTCTGATGTCAGTTTCTTTTGCTGTGCAGAAGCTCTTTAGTTTAATTAGATCCCTTTGGCAATTTTGGCTTTTGTTGTCATACCTTTTGGTGTTTTAGTCATGAAGTCTTTGCTCATGCCTATGCTCTGAATAGTATTGCCTTGGTTTTCCTTAGAGTTTTTATTGTTTTAAGTCTTATGTTTAAGTCTTTAATCCATCTTGAGTTACTTTTTATGTAAGGTGCAAGGGAGGGATCCAGTTTCAGCTTTCTGCATATGGCTAGCCAGTTTTCCTAAAACCACTTATTAAGTACAGAATGCTTTCCCCATTGCTTGTTCTTGTCAGGGTTTTCAAAGATCAGATGGTTGTAGATGTGTGGTGTTATTTCTGAAGCCTCTGTTCTGTCACAGTGATCTATATATCTGTTTTGGTATCAGTATCATGCTGTTTTGGTTACTGCAGCTTTGTAGTATAGTTTGAAGTCAGGTAGCCTGATAGCTCCAGCTTTGTTTTTGTTTGTTTGTTAGTTTGAATTTTGTTTGTTTGTTTTGTTTTGTTTTGTTTTCTTAGGATTGTCTTGGCTATGTGTGCTCTTTTTTGGTTCCATATGAAATTTAAAGTAGTTTTTTCCAATTCTGTGAAGAAAGTCAATGGTGGTTTGATGGGGATAGCACTGAATCTACAAGTTACTTTGAGCAGTATGGCCATTTTTATGATACTGATTCTTCCTGTCCATGAGCATGGAATGTTTTTCCATTTGTTTGTGTCCTCTCTTATTTCCTTGTGCAGTGGTTTGTAGTTCTCTTTGAAAAGGTCCTTCACATCCCTTGTAAGTTGTATTTCTAGGTATTTTATTCTCTTTGTTGCAATAGTGAATGGGAGTTCACTAATGATTTGGCTCTTCATTTGTCTGTTACTGGTGTATAGGGCATTTTTAAAGTCACAGCTAGATTTTTGTTTATTACAAACATGCTTGTAGCATCTATTGAGGTATTTCTCATCAACAGATATTTAAAATATATATATATATATATATATATATATATATATATATATATATATAGTAGTTGAGTCCCAGAGATACACAGTGGAATCATTTGTATATGTAAGCTGATTACATACTTTCATATTTCTTTATGTGTGCACAAAAATTTAAGAATTTTAATTATGAGAGATACTGATTAAGGATAACAAATGTCAGTGGTCACTTTTCTGTTTGTGGCTATTTCTGTTTAAATACCTTTTTGGTTGTTTTAGTATATCTTTGTATTTGTACATGTATGTACAAATCCAAATGCATATGCAAAAGAAAGCACATAATATATAACATATAGATATGTTAATAAAAATTCAACACACACACACACACACACACACACACACATAGTCCCCTAAAACATTATTTGTAGAAATGTCATATTAAATAGGCAGAGAAAGCAAACTATTTAAAATGACTATCAAATAATGAATGAAATATAAATTGTTGTATATTCACACAATGGATTATAATACAGCAATAACATAGAATCTATAGCTACATGTATAATGATATTTGCATTTATCTTTTGTGCTTATTTATTTATGTTATTTATTTGTTAAGATTCAGTGTAAAACAATTAAATATATGTATCAGTGAGGGCAATCTTTCGCTGCCAGCTTTGCTTAGCAATGTTGGAAGATACTGCCACAGGTGCTCGAATCCAGTAGTTTAGGTCAGGGATGTGGGTAATATCCCACAGAGCATAGCACAGACCCTCATCACAAGGCTTATCTTGCCCAAAATGTACATTGTACTGAGGATGAGAAACCTTGATCTGGCTTTAATTTTAAATAAAAATGGGTAAGACCACTACAATAGAAATAACAAGATATTTTCAAAAAAATATAAAAGTTGCTGAAGAAACTGGGCATTATTATATGCATATTGAATGGAAGATTCAAATTTTAAAGTTATCAATTATCTTCAAATTGATATATAGAGTCAATGTAATTCCAATAAGATTACAGCATTTGATTTTGCAGATATGAATATGTAGATCCTAAAGTATATGTTGAAATGAAATGGATCACAAAAATGATCAAGGTAGTTTTGAAGGAATGAAATATAGTTGAAAGATACACAACACCAGATTATCAAACCTATTATGAAGCTTTAGCAATCCAGAAAGTGTAGTATTTGTGTAAGTATTTGTATGGAAGTGAAGAGAGGATAACATAAATAGAGTTGTGTATATTCACATAACAAAGGTGGCACTGCAGTAAAGCAATAATGCCTGCTTCAATAAATTATTTTGAGTTATTGCGTTTTCAGAATGAAAAAATAATCTTGATCCTATCTCATACTATCTACATAAAAAATCAATACAATGGATAGGAGACATAAATATAGTAGACTTTATGACATTCTATTAGTAAATACATTTCAAAGAAAACAAATGAACAGAAGAAGCTAACCATGAAAATGATACAGTAAAGTTATTACATTTTGAAATAGAAAATTTTCAGCTCATTTTCTTTGCACATAATATATTAAATCCAAAATTTAATAAGCAAATTATAAGAGAGAAATCAAAACAATGCGAATTTAAACCAAATCCCTAAAAATCACCTTCTGTTAATGAGGTAATTACAACTATAATCAAAATTCTATAGAAAATAAAAGCATCCTGATGTTACATATGAAGTAAAATTAATTTTCGATAAAATAGAGGAATAATGAAGAAAAAAACTTAAAGCATTAAGTATTATACAAGTGAAAAGTAATAAACCTGTGTGCAAGACAATCCTTTGAAAGCAAAATGCCAGCATCATAAATATATTGGAATAGATTCATAAAATTTCCTAGAACATTAAAAATATCTGTACAAATAAAATTATTTAAATGACAATAATTTGAAAGCACATTTTAACTTACAATAAAACAACTAATTAATGTTTTCAATTTGTAAAACTTTAGACAAGTTAATGGGATTAAGACTATTATCTTAAAGAAATCAATAAAGATCCTGAAACCTTAATTTTCAAAAGGAGCTATATGCATGAAATGTTGACAGTGTTTACTCATGCTTGTAAAAGCAATGAAAATTATGACAGCAGTACTATCTAGTTATTACTTATACAATTGGAAAATAATTAGGTAGGTTTATCTTTGGAGAAAAGCCACCATGAATCTCTAAACAACAAAAAAAGTTTGGGAATTTGGGAATTCTCAAAAAAGCTTGGAAATGTTTATAACCACCATATGAAGATAAATGAGAGAGTGACGCTGAGCTACAGAGCACCAGGTGAGGACTATTATGGATTCTGGAAAATTTTAAGTTGAAAGCAAGCAGTCCTGAGTATTTGTCGATCACTGATGAGGGAAGAGTCATTCCTCCTCCTTTCCTCTTAGGTATAAATATTGATTCCAGGAAGATATGAGCTCTTCTCAAGAGGTTTCAAATAAGAAACAGTAAGGAAATGTGTGCATGCTTCTGGAGAAGTTTACATTGGTCTCTTCCTGTTGTTTTGTGCTCATCAAGGGAATCTGAAAGCCCCAGAGCAATCCCATCCTCTGAGACAGAAATCAAGTTAGGTTCCTACCCATGTTCATTTTCATTCCCTGTACTTTAACTAGTTTGGTCCTTAAATAGAAATGGACCACTCTTTCTCAACATTGTGCACCTGTTCTTTGAATGAACCTTCCAAACTGTACATAGTGGGTAGAAAATGAAAATTTGGGGAGAAAGTCAGATGAGTGATACTACTGAAAAGAATCACACACTGCAAGGTGAGTCTTTAGAAATGTAGGCTTCACTTATTTTCTCCAACTTCCCTTCTTTTCTTTATTTTAACTTTCATTCAGAGGTAAGATATTCAAGGATTATTAGAA